GGGAAAGCTGCAGGGGTCTTTTCCCCAGTGGCCATCTTTGGGAGTTGGTCCTGGAGAGGAGGGGAGCCATAGGCTCAGGCTCTGCCCAAAGAAGAGAGGTCGTCTCGGGGTGCAGGTGAGCCAGGGTCTCCGCCAGCGGAGTTGTGCTCCCCCAAAGGGTGGACTGGCAACGGTTGATCCTCAGGGGGAGCAGGGAAGCCATGGGGAGGACTGTGGATGGGGGTTGCTCTGGTTCTCGGTGGATTTCCTTTCCCAGTGGATTGTGCCCACTGAAGGTGGAAAGAGGAATCCAGCGCATGGGACCAGAGGTCTTCAAACTTGGCAAGTTTAAGACTTGTGGACTTCAACTCTCAGAAGTTAAAAGTCCACAAGTCTTAAACTTGCCAAGTTTGAAGACCTCTGATCGAAGTAGAGAGATTGCAGAGGAAGGGATTATAAGAAAGTAAATTATGCTGGCTGGGAGTTGAAGTCCACAAGTCTTAAAGTTGCCAAGTTTGGGGACCACTGGCCTAACCTAACCCCGACCAGCCAGCATTCCTACTGTCCACGTTTGATGAAGTGCCAGCTGAGATTCACCCAGGTGGCCCATTTCTGTGGCAGAGCAAGAGAAAGTAGAAGCGATTTTGGGCAGCACTGTCATGGCGCAATGCCCTCAAATTCTAGGGTCTGCTCTATTAAGAATGGTTAATTCTAATTGGGAGCTTTCAGAATTTACCTGGATCTGGGGAGTTTATTCTGCTGCTGCTCTTTTTTCACTCTTGTGCATGATTTATGCCAGTTACACTAATCTTGGGGAGTGGCAAGTAACTATGCAGAATACTGGAGCTCCACACCCAGGAAGATGTAATTAACTCTCTCTCTCTCTTTCTGTCCCACACACGAATGCACACCTGTCTCATTTACCTGCTTATGCATTTCAGTGTTCTCCCCTGACTTTCCATCTTCCCCCGCTTCCATGTTCCATACATCTATACATTCAGGGTGCACCAAAGTCAGGCCCCTTAGAGAACGTAGGGTACCAATGACATTAAATGCTCAAATTGGTTGCCGTTTCCTTCCAAACACTTCCAAGCACGCCTAAGTACAGCCATATTTTATCTTGAAGTATTAAAATGAATAAAACGTTGGGGCCTGATTGGTGGTACCCCTGCAATCCACCATCAATCGATCAAATCCCTCCTTAGGCATGAAGCCAGCAAGATGACCTTGGGCCAGTCCCTTCTCTCAAAAGGAGGAGGCAGGGGAAGCCCCTTCTGAAAAATGCCGCACTGGTCCAGGCAGTTGTCAGGAATCAAGACTGACATGAAGGTGCGTGGGCACATGCATGCGCGCGCACTACAGACACACACAGCCCTGTTTAAAATTGGGCCTTCTAAATAAACCCCTTCTGACCCTTTTCTTAACCTCTCTGGAGCAGAGTTCCCCAACCCTTCTGGGTTGGTGGCCTGGAGCAGGGGGAGAGGGGAAAGAGGGGATGATTTTGTGGGAGGGGCAAGCGGATATGTGCATATGCACGCATGGGTGCCTGCAATGTTCGTGCAAGTGGGGCCTCAAGCGCCTGCAAGGACACTTGCGTGATTGGGGCTGCGAGCTCCAACAACAAGGCTTGTGCAAGGAGAGCTGAAGCCCCGTGACTACACGTGAGTGGTGCCTGCAATTATGCTCCTGTGATAGGGGCTGTGCACACGCATAGAGGTGCGCACACTGGCCAGCCAATTACGAGGCCCGGTGGCGATTACCCTGTGATGTGGTACTGGGCCGTGGCTCACAAATTGGGGACCCCAGCTTTGCTGGCTGGGGAATTCTGGGAGTTGAAGTCTTCCAGGCTTAAAGTTGCCAAGGTTGGAGACCCCTGCTCTAGAGCATGGCTGGCTCAAGTATTCTGGGAGTCAAAGTTCATGGATTGTAAAAGGGCCACAGTTCCCTTTCACTCTGGAGAGTGGGGCCAAGAGGAGCTCTCAGCCCTTCCGAAAGGCGAAGAAAGGCCTTCCCAGTTAGCAGCCATGGATGCTCTGGGCCTGGTAAGGGCCAGGAGCAGTTGGTACCCAATGCGGATTTGGCACCACAGATGTTGGGTCATCCAAATGTGTTATGAGTTAGCAGCCACGTGGCCTCGTGTTGTATCAGCTGAAGCTCTTGGAGCCCACCCGAGGGTTTCTTTGCTCCTGGTTCTACTCAGGAGTAGAGTTCTACTCAGGTTCTACTCAGCCCCCTGTTTTCATGACAAGGCAATCAAGTGAGAGTTATGAGGGTATGTATAGGAGGCAGGTTGGTGGGGTATCTGGTGTGTAGCAGTTTGTGTTTTACCTATCAAGCTGTTTCTCTCTTCAGAGGCCATTAACAGACCTCACTAGGATTTCAAGATCCTGATTCTTAGTCTACATTTGTTCATCTATAACAGAGGTCTTCAAACTTGGCAAATTTAGGACTTGTGGACTTCAACTCCCAGAATTCTGCTGGCTGGAGAATTCTGGGAGTTGAAGTCCATAAGTCTTAAAGTTGCGACGTTTGGGGACCCCTGATCTATAGCTTTAGAAAGAAATCATAAACTTTCTCAGGGGAAAATTAGAATGAAATGGAATTTCCAAATGTTAATGTTCTGGTGCAAAATAAATGCTGCATTCACCAGTTCTATTCCTGTAAATATTCTAGGTTGAGAAACATAAACGGACAAAGAAAAGAAAGAAAGAAAGAAATGTACTTGAAATGAAAAAAAAATGGGAAAGGGACACAGCATTTTGGCAGGGAAATGGGCTGCTCTTGGCAGACACCATGGTGCAATTTAGCTGGGAGACTTTGCAGCAGAGAAGCTCTGTGGGGAGTGGGGGTGGGGGAAGCACCGACTTGCTCGCTCTGGCTGGGTTGGAAGCTCAGCGTGCAAACCATGGAGCGAGCCTCCGTCGGCTGGAAGGGAGGAGACCTTGCAGGGGTTGCTTTTGGCCTCCAGCTTTGGGCTCAACAGGCCACCAGCAGCGTTCAAAAGGCCCTGCCAGGTCTGTCGGGATACTGTGGTGTCCACGTGGACACCCAAGATGTGGGGCCAGAAGTAGGCTCAGAAGGTCAGTTCCCACAGTTTTGAGAAAGGACAAGCAGTTCAGCAGCAAGAAGGAAGGCAGCTGGTGTGGAATAACTCCTGAGGGAAGAGAAACAGCTGACTCCCTTCTCTGTCTTGGGGAGAGCAGTCCTGAACTGACCCCTTGGGATTTCTAATCACGAGCAAGAGGGAGAGGCTTGTCCAGAGCAGGCACCAAGATGCCCAGGCACCACCACAAGGGAGATAATTTAAATGAAGTCAGATCTGACTGCAATATGGTGTTCCTAATAAATGACTGGATTTCTCTTGAAACTTGGCTTGGGCTCATGAATTAATTAGGGCATCTTTTGGAAACCTGATAGCAGCGACTGTGCAGCCTTCACCTGGTCAGTGGCCGATTATGCGCCCTTCACCTCCACACATGCGCCCTCCCCCTTCCTTGCCCACTCCAGTCGCATACGCTGCTCAGACCTGCAATCCTCTGGTAGCTTGTGTGAATGACTCCCCCTGACTTCTGTGCTGCCTTTTGTCAGGTTGCCAGTCTCTTTCAAGGATGGTTCCATCACCCTTTTAAACAGTCTGCAACGTAAGGGGGAGCTGTGTCCCCCCCCCAATTTAAGCCCTACCATGAGGCCGACAGCCTTCCACTCTCTTTTTAAAATGCTTTCCCCTCTCAACCTATTTGACTCTTCTCCGGCCCTTAGCTGGACAAGGTTGGCATCTTCAAATAATGTAACTTCCTGAACTCTCCAAAATAAAAGTTTAACGATAACATATCAGAGCTAGAGTCCTTGAAGATTAAAGGAGTCAAAAATGCCCCTTTTCACTCAACCACATCTCCCTTAGCAAGGATGTTCGGCATCAGGGCGGGTGTTTTCATTCCCTCTCAAGCATCTGGAGCTTTGTAGTTTTCCTCCTCTCCCTGCCACTCCATGTGGAGAATGAAGAGCCAAGGATTGCTCCTGCCAGTTCCCAGCAGAGGCAGGAGAGAGACACATTTCCTCAGTTCACTGTGGAGGGGAGTGAAATCTATTTCACTCGCACAGCCATTTTCTTCATCTTTCACCCAGGCCCAAAGGGTCTGGCTCAGGTCATTGCTATGCCAGAAGATCGGACTGAACCTTGGCCTTAAGAAGGCTCTAAGCCGGACCTGACCAGCCTGCTAAGACAGGGGTCTCCAACCCTGGCAAATTTAAGGCTTGTGGACTTCAACTTCCAGAATTCCTCAGCCAGCTGGGAGTTGAAGTCCACAAGCAAAGCTGGCTGAGGAACTCTGGGAGTTGAAGTCCACAAGCCTTAAAGTTGCCATGGTTGGAGACCCCTGTGCTAAGAAAGGGAGACCCAGAGCAGGCCCCAAGCTAGTGAAGATGGTCAGAGAAGGAAAGGTCAGGCTGCCAGAGAGGAATGGCGTCTTCCATTTTCATCCGAAGCTGTCATTCCTGGGTGAAAAAGAACCAGGTGGTGATGCAAATATGGAGTCTCCATGAAAGATTTGTTGACGGACAGCACTCAGGGACAAGCATCCATCTTCAACCAGTCTTTAATGGGACTGGACTCTCAGCTGAGCTCTTCCTTTTTCCAAACAGACTGAAATGAAGGCGATGTCAGCCATTTTGGCCTAGTGGTTAAGGAACCAGACCAGAAAGGGGGAGATGGGGAGAGCCAGTCGCTCTCTCTCAGCCCAGCCTACCTCCCAGGGTTGCTGTTGAGGGGAAAGAGGAGGAGAAAGGTTGTTGGATGTGTTCACTACCTTGAATTATTTATAAAATTAAGAGAGGCGGGATACAAATAAATAAATAAAAACGTAGCACTTGGGAGTAGAAATGTAGTGCTTTGAAATGGCCTGTGCTCGGATGCTCTCCTTGTGCAGGGATGGGCTGAATGGAACAAGTGCAGTGGATGCCATGTGAAGCACAGCTCATTCCGTTCTGATTTCCTTTTTCTTTCCATTTTCTTTTTTTTGCAGATTCATGTCCGGCACAGGGCTGGTGATTTACCCAGAAATTGGGGACAAGCTGGACATCATCTGTCCGAAGGCAGAGCCATCCAAACCGTATGAATATTACAAACTGTACCTTGTGAAACGGGACCAAGCCGAGTTCTGCAGCACCATCATGGACCCAAATGTGTTGGTGACCTGCAACAGGCCTGAGCTGGAAATCCGTTTTACCATCAAATTTCAGGAGTTCAGCCCCAACTATATGGGCTTGGAATTCAAAAGACACCAGGATTACTTTATCACATGTGAGTGACATCCCCCCCCTCTTCCTCCCCCTCGGTGTTTCTCCCCCAGACTTCCGTGGAGAGTCTTACGTTCACAATCCCCTAAACTCCGCTAAAGTTGTTATCTACGCTGGTAACGAAACGTTTGGAAACCAATCCACAAGCACGGAGAACGAACCTTCACTCTCTTCTCGCAGTCTTTCTCTTCCCCTCCTCTTTCTCCCTCCCCCCTTCCCCATTTCCACCCAGGGAACCTCTTCCCATTAGGGAAGACCCTGTGTTGTTCAGTTGCAATTTGTTAAATGCTCTGGGGAGCCATCTTGTTACCCAGGGGTAGTCAACCTTTTTATGCCTACCGCCTACGTTTGTATCTCTGTTAGTAGTAAATTTTTCTAACCGCCCACCAGTTCCACAGTAATGGTGATTTATAAAGTAGGGAAGTAATTTTACTTTATAAAATTTATAAAGCAGAGTTACAGCAAA